ATAATAATAATATTAATAATATTTACCAACGCAGTTACCTAAATATATGGCTTTCTGTAATTAGTTTGTTATTTCGAAATATTTTGATAAAATTTCCTTTACAAACTCGGAATGACCTTGAATTGAAACAAAGAGGGTTTCTCTTAGTCCACGGTTATCTTTTAAAATTTATTTTCCCTAGAAGTAGGAATTTGTAAATTTTGAACAAAAAATTCAAATTCAAAAAAATAAAAATAAAATTTAAAAAATGAACAAATGATATCATTATTTTACGGGCCTCTACGAACACTTCAAGATTATAAAGCTTTGTAAGGGTAGACTGTCTCATGTACGAAATGCTATATATATCAAGCATTTGAAACCATTATAATAAATGTTCAATCCACCTTTGAGGGGATGGAGTGCAATGCTTCGTTTAGTCAAAGAATTGAAGCCATAAGTACTGAATGCTCAAACAGATTCTCAGAAAGCCAAGATGTTTCTCACATTTGATAATTGACTTTATGGAATTGAAACGTCCAAAATCTATCTAAATGTTACGAAATATATAATCAAAAATTTTAGAATCCAATCTTTATATGTTTTCGCCAAACATGTCTGGACAATTTGTTTATTTTTTCAATCAACATTCGCTTAAATAACCGATCTGAAGCTTCAATCATTAGTGGTTTTCTTTGTTTTATCTTAAACAATTATTAATAAGTTTCATGGGAAGAAACTAGGGACACATAAACCTCGATAACCTAAATAACGTCCTCGAGATCCCTAAAGGCAAGATGAGGGAAAGACACCTAGTCAATGTAGTAAGGACAAAGGGACATGTAATGGAGGTTCAGCAGATCCCTAGGTACATGAAGATGGAAAGACACCTAGTCAATGGAGTAAGGACAAAGGGACATGTAATGGATGTTCAGCAGATCCCTAGGGACATGAGAATGAAAAGACACCTAGTCTATGGAGTAAGGACAAAGNTAAGGACAAAGGGACATGTAATGGATGTTCAGCAGATCCCTAGGGACATGAGAATGAAAAGACACCTAGTCTATGGAGTAAGGACAAAGGGACATTTAAGGGAATTCTATGGGAGATCCCTAGGGTTATAAATGTGGAAAGACACCTAGTCTATGGAGTAAGGACAAAGGGATAAATGTAAAGGAGGTCCAAGAGATGCCTATAGGGAACGAGAAGGTGGAAAGACATCTAATCTATTGACTAAGGACAAGGGGATATGTAAGGGAGTTCTTGAGATCCCTAGGGACAAGAGGATAGAAAAACACCTAGTCTTTTGAGCAAGGACAGAGGGGCATTTAGGAAAGGTCCAGGAAATCCCTAGGGGCACGAGGATAGAAATTCACCAGTCCAGCTATAGAGTAAACACCAGACATCATGGAACAGAGGTCAATTTTAAAGACACTGAGAAATATCTTGATGACAATCAAATTTATTCAACAATTTATTTAACATCTTTAGGTTTAATTTCTTTTATTTTTAATGCATTTTTTCAAATTTCATCATCCTAGATAATGTGATTTTGGTTGTTCTTGAGTTATGTTGGTGGATGGTACTCTAAAAATGAATAAATAAAAAAGCCTGTGAATTTTCAATAATTTCCATCCATCCATCCATCCATCCATCCATCCATCCATCCATCCATCCATCCATCCATCTATCTATGAACATTGATCACAGAGCTTTACCTCTGCACTATCCATCCGTACCAAGCAACGCCGGCGTCGCTTCATTAGCGATTACTTTCTTTACAAAAGTTAATCTAATTTACCTTCAGTACAGTAATATAGAGAGAGCGGTTCTTTCGTGCTCTTATATGCTCAGATAGGCTGTGTTTTCAACAGAAATGTTAACTTGCCTAAAATTCTTGGTGGTGTTTTAATCCGACAGCCACCTTTCAAGAATAACACTGTGATTGGCCGATTTATTTGGTAGGATAACTTAAACCATCTTGCCAGGTAGTTTTTTAGGTACTTTGCCTTACTTCCGGTGTTATATTTAAGCTAGTTTAAATTGTCCTAGTGAAAACACAGCTATAATGTATTTATTTTGGTGGGACATAAGGTACTTTGTTTACACAGCGATGACAGATATGACTTTGACAAACGCAAAACGAAACCCGAACCACGATTCGTTATCCGTAATACGACCTTGAGGTCAAGCTAGCCAAAGATCATTGTGATCGACTGATATGGTACGAATAGTGCAGCATGCAGTTAATAATCACTTCGTACAGCTGATTCAAACCAGAAAGACCGTTGGTYGRAAAGGACGTTTACTTTTAAGATAAGTGAGCCCTATTTAGTATCCATTTAGAAACAAACATACATCATTGAACACTATGTAGCTTCCACGAATACGTGAAACAAACACAGCGATAAATAACCCAATCCTTCTGTCCTAGCGCCCTTGCTTCAACGCGGTACTGTATTCTTCAAGTTTCTATCGTTAACTACAGGCATTACAAAAAGTTTTCGACGCTCTGAGTCTTATTGGGCGAATGTATGTTGCAAACGTTTGGTGTGGGCTTCAAAGTTCAACCAAAAGACATATAACCATGCTGACATGTGGGAATTTGAGTCTTGAAATCTTGCCTGTCTGCCTGTCTGCCTGTCTGCCTGTCTGCCTGTC